TTTGCGACCACAAATCGGGCTACACCTTCAAAGTCAATCTAAGCTTAATGCTAAGAAAGCAACTCGGGTTGTTGGTAGATACCAGAAAAAAAACCTCGAGTGCAAACGGTTAACAATTTCTATTTTTAATATCCAATCTTTAAAATTCTCCTTTTTACAAACACGCATAGATCAAAGATCGCAAACTTCGAAGAAAACTAAGTGCTCGACGAGGCTGAAAGAGAAGCTATTTATCGTTTGTAACGAGCAAAGGCCAGCTAAACGATTAAGAAACACTCGAGAAAGATTCCCCATTGAGTTTACACGGGAAAGGAAGCAATGCGAACGGTAGACAACCTAAAAACGCTGGCAGCGAACACGCGGAAGGAGCCTCAAAGTCTCTCAGCCGTCGCATCCGGTCTCGATTGATGTCCCATTATGCGCGTAGCGAGTCGATGGAATCCCTTGGCATATATTCGTTAATGGATGGGTCTGGCAACAGGGAAAACATTATTGGTAGGCGCATTACAGTCGAACGCATCGCACAGTATAATAGCGAAAAAGGAGACGGCAACAAGGAGCTTTCCCTTCGAACGTATCAAGCCAACGGGCGCAAAAAAGGGTAAAAAATGAGAAAAAGAAAACGGAGACAAATAAAAAGAAAGCTCACATATTTCCATGCGAGATCATAATTGTCCGTGATGATAATAATGAGCAGCCGGAACGACCAAAGAGGTAAAGATATCTATTATCGCTGGGACTCGTTAGGAGGAATTTGTTCGAAAGAAAAAGAGGCTTATAAAGAAGCGAAAGACTGGATGGAAGCACAAAGGAGACGAGAAGAAAAGGAGAAATCGGTAGGAAAACGTGCTTTGATTCGCATACGCGAGTTTTGTTTATTCCAGTCCACCAATTCGAGACTGAAGACTCTCGGAGCAATTTGTTTCTTTATGAGCGAAGCTGCTCCTTGTGATCCTGGGATATTTGCTGCAGCTGGACCTCGACTGCCTTAGCTCGAATAGCGTTTTAACGCGGGACGGATGTCTCCGTTGATTCAATTTCCATTTGTACGGGTTCGGCTGTGATCACTTGCACGGAAATTTACCGCTGCAATTACGAAACTCGTTTAATTGCGAGCTCTGGACATTTTTAATGAGAGGAACGACCGCTGGGAAAAGTGATTATTTATTTCAAAGTGTTCGTTCGCGATCCTTCAACCTTAAAATTTATTAGAAGGTCGTCGATCGTGTTATCAAAACTTGGAAAATATCTTTTTGTAATCACGTACTAAACTCGCAACTTTACAGTTCTCTCTATTGCGAAACCATAACACAGTCCCTCCCATTGGCATCGGTCGACGCATTGTACAAGAAAAATTCCACCAGTCTAATCGCAGATTTCCAAAAAAGGATTTCTTCCTGAAATATCGAGGGTTTCGAAAAATCGTGTTCGCGATAAAAGTCACGGTTCGAAGCGTTGCCTCGAGGCGAGGACTCAGCCAGGCTATAAAAGTGCAAGGAGGAATGTCTTCGTCAGGAATACCGACGTTCCTCTAATTTCGCAGCACGGTTGGACGGTTCGAAATGAAATTTCGCACGCAACCGAAGCGGATGACGAGCAGCCTTGCAAAATACGGGAACATTTTTACGACGGAACAAAGTTTTCCTGGAAGCGAGCACCGGCGAGAGAGAAGTCTTTACGCTCTGTATTTACGGGGCAGGCCGTCGTAAATCCGCGGCGCCAACGCGCTGCCACCCCGAGCATCCGGCCTGATTAACCCTTTGGAAAGCGAGAGACATGTAATTACCCGACGACTTATCCGAGATAACACGATCGTTAATTCGAAGTTGCGCGACGGAACTCGGTGAATTCGCGACCTAACCTTGCCCTCTCGTTTACGTTTGATCCGTCTCTGAGCGAGAGCTTTTTCACGCCTCTCCTTTTTCTCCCATTGGAGCCCTCTGCATGTAAATGTCGTAAAGTGCGAGAACCCGAGGTGTGAGAGAAGAGAACTTTGGACGCGCGACAGTTTGAAGAGGATGTTTGAAGATGTTTTTGTTAAGGGAGCGAGTGCTAGGCGTCAGTTTAGGAATGAGTGATAAGAGCGCGTGATGTCTGTGTGTAAGGATAAGAGAAATGTGACTAGAGATATGCAAGAGCTTTAGTTTTTAACCAGACCGGAAAAGATCAGCAGTAAGGGCATTATTTGTACGGTAATTTTCTATAGGAATAGTAGTTTAACCCCCTATGGGCCGAATTTTTTTTCTGCAGACAATTTGCAAGGCACTTACTTCGATAAATTCGCATTGATATTATATAATTAAGACGTACACGTCCTCATGTAAAGAAAGTAAAATTATTCGATTAAATGTCGATATATTACCACGAAATCTGAAAATTACACGGATCCATAGAAGGTTAACACCAAACCTGCACCACTATTGTAGCAATGATGACATCCATTGTCATTATCCTACAAAGTAAATAAAATTCTACGATATTGTATTTTTGTAATTGGAATATTGTAAGATCGATGAGGGCTGAATATCAAACGTGTCAAACAGGCGTAGCTCGATCTTACGTTGCCAACACCGATGATCATAACTAAACACCCCGTGACCACCCTGTGTATGCATCGTTTAAGTACGAGACGTGGTTATACACGTTGGCAGCCAACGACGGACGTCGATACCTGGCAGGGTGCCTGCTTTGTACAGGTAATACAGGTGTCAGGTGAGCCGAACACGTACGGTGCATCTCGCCCCTTGGCATTTCCAGCGATTAATCGAGGATACATCTAACAGGAGTAGTCTGCGGAAAGGGGCTTTGCTCACGTTCCAGTCGATCCGCTCACGGAAATCATGCAGCTGGAAGCGGATCGGTCCGGGAAAGGGACGATCATGAGGCTCTTCCTTGTCTTCGCCAACTATCGCTGGGAATCGTACTGTATCCTGTTATATCGGTTAATGAGATTTCCGTTGCGAAACTACGGTTCTGGGTGCCTCTTCACCTGAATAATCATCCCCTCCTGCCGTTTGGAAACTGGCGATCTGATTGGGAAGGGTGGATTAAACTCTTCCAGCCCCTGGATGGCCTGGTTCGATATTTTTATGGTTGGAAAAATTTGCTCTATTATTTACGAACCTTGGTCGTATTCGACGCTTGGACTCTTACGAATTACTTAGCTAATCAAGGTGTAATAAGTTTATACACTACTGATTATTAATTTTAATACACCACCACACCTTTAATTTTTTAAAGAATTTAATTATTTTTTAAAGAACGTAATTGATGGCTTCCCTGCACGAATGACTAACTACTATTGTAAGGACTGTCTGCATTTGTTCAAAGTCACCTTATTTTTCCACTACGACAATTCTAAAGGACGTTGTCGAAGACACAGATAATAAAATAGAAATTCGAACGAGCAGCAGACGAGAGTTTAAATAAATTTTATTGCTCGTCTCGTTGGCTGTACACGAGGAAAATAGCTGGTTGCTTGTTCGAAGGAAATGCGAATTGCAATCGAACGCGACCATGTCGAGGACGGTTGGCTGATTTTTGTTCGTTTTACTGGATCGCCTTCGCGAAATTCTCGTGACCGAACAACCTCGAGAGTCGACCGCTCGGAAAAATCATAATTTCGCGAGAGGAGAAAAAATCATCTGGCGTGTACAATCGCTCTATCGATCGCCTTGTACCGAATCCAGAACTTTGCTTGAAATAGGAATGTTTTAATGAAAGAAACGAGGAAGTAATCCTTGAAGCGCTTTTACGTCTACCAGACGGATGTAAGCGTATGAATAATAATGAATTCGTTAATGAATAATAATAGCCTCAGAAATCTCGCTCCTGACTCATTCAAAGTTAATGGGATGAAGATGAAGGTCCGCAGTCACATAATTTAGAGTTTGCATCGTGCTCTTTCGGTGTTAACACTTTTATTCATTTCCTCGTTAGCTATAGTCCAACCCACAAACAGCACACAGTAGTATTTCGTCATATTACCACAGAACTAGTTATCCGATAGAATGCTTCAATGAATGATAGTATTTTATCGCAAACTACTTAGGACTTCCCTTCATCCCCCTCTTCTCTGCTCCACTCCCTTCCTTGAAGGGAGTTAGTTGAATGAGTAATACTTTTATTAATTTTCTCGATAGCTATAGGCTAACCCACAGGCAGCACACGGTGGTATTTCGTGACACTACTACAGAACTAGCTACTCGTCGCATATAGGAATACTTGGTAATGAGAAAGCCGATAATCTGGCCAAAACAGCTACGCATTCGTGTAACTTGAACATATTAGAAATTCCTTTCACCGACATTTTTGAAACTTATAAAGAAAAAGCTAGACAGAACACTTTGAGTATGATTAAGGACCAGGGTGGCTTTAAAGGGATGAAATACTTCCAATTATATTTCAATGATAGTAGCAGACCATGGTACTTTTGGGGTAAACATAAAAGAGAATTTATTGTCACAGTAAATCGTATTAGGTCTGGGCATTACAATCTTACTGCCTGTCTCGCCCGCATTAAGATAATAAGCGACCCTAAATGTAAATCCAATTATGAAATCGAAGACATCAATCGTGTGATTTGGCAATGCAGGCTCTACGACAGTTCAAGGATCAAGCTAATTAAAAAGCTCCAAAATATAAAACTGTGTCTTCCACTTAATGTTGAATCGCTTGTTACGATTCTAATATTGAAACTTGTCTATGTATTTTTGATTTCTTAAAAGAATCTAAACTGCAGATGTAATGTAAACGTAAATTGTATTATACATACTACTGTATATATGAACCTTATCTGAGGTTCTCAAATAATAAAAAACTAGTTACTTGATAGAATATTTCGATGAACGATAATGTACTATCGCAAGCTACCCAGAAATTCTCTTCATCTCCTCTTCCCGGATCCAGTCTCTTTCGTGAGTGTTCTCAACGCAAATGACTCCAACTAACCTAACCGATCCTAATACAAACGTATACTGACGCATATCTTAAATTTTTAGGTCGTCCAGGGACGGACTACCCAGTGTTGGGCAAGGTGCCTTACACGAACTTCTACTGCGACGACCAGCCCTACCCAGGGTTCTTCGCCGACGTGGAGACGAGATGCCAGGCCTGGCACTACTGCGACATAGACGGCCGACAAGCGACGTTCCTGTGCCCGAACGGGACTCAGTTCAGTCAGGCGGTGTTCGTCTGCGACTGGTGGTTCAACGTGAGGTGCGAGCTCAGCCCTAAGCTCTACGCCATCAACAGCAGGCTTTACGTCCGGCCTACGGAGAGTCCAACGAGACCTCACCGCCTCATCACTAAGGAGTTGCTCGAGAATATCTTCGTAAGACGGAAATGAGAATTGACGAAACACCGAGCAGTCGAGCTCGAGTTCATACAAACTGGATAAACGCAGGACGACGTTTTCCTTTTCCTGTCGACGGATGGACGGTCTGTTCAGTTGGATAGACAGGGAGACATTCGTCTTGAAGGGATTTATCTGGTTAATAAAAGAAGGGAACTCGAAGGGTTCGAGCATTGACGAACCGTAAGTGGAATGTCCACGTTTTGGAAGAATGGAAGCGGAGATTCGATGACCACCACTGCTCTGAAGACATCAGTCTACAATCGTTTTTCCCTTCGAGGGTGGGTTGACGTGGGAAGCGTGACTGCGCCCTCGGCGCGGTTCTTAATCGTTGATGAGATCGCATTCGGGACCGAAGGAGACGCCAGGTTTCTCCTCCCTTCTCTGGTCGTCTCGTGAAAATAAAGAGTCGATCTTTACGGGGTAGTCGAGCTCCCACCTGTGCGATGGGAATCAACCTGTTCCCTCATCGATCGAGTCCAGACGCTCTTGGCTCCGAATCGTAAACGCGAATGTCATTATAAACGCGGGTGCTTCGGTGGAATTCAGTGTTCGTCGACGGAGACATTGCCTGGTTTGGGAATCGTGCGAATTTTGGCTTACGCTTGGGTCGAAATTGAGCTCTTAGTCTTTCTAGGATTGATATTCGTCGCGCAACCCAGGCCAGAGTTCCATGCGATGGAACAGTGGTGGACTTCAACTCCGAAAAATTACGTAACGTGCCAATTTTTAAATACGCATCGAGCACTGGTTTACGTTGCAGTCTTTCGTTTAAATGAAAGAACGCGTAATACTCTTAATTGTATTCTATTAGCCTAACGGTGTTACCTAGGACGCTATATCGAATAAATTTTAGCCTTATCGAACTCTAACGTGTTTCGAATATTGTTATAATTTTAAAGGCGATCGAAAACGGTTCGAATGACGCGAACTTCCTATTTTTATCTATAAAAAGGGAAATAATTATCAGTCTGAAACAAGCTTCTTCGAAACTATCCAATATTTTTCCTTTTTATATATTACATTATTTCGTATTTATATCTCTTCGAATGGAACTCTCATGACAAAAATAGCTCGTTTAAGAATGACAATTAATTCCCCTGTTTACCATATAACAGACGCCTAAATAGTCGAATAAATTCATAAATAAACGAACCCCGCCTCCCATCAAGAACAGAGAGCTCCGTGCTCGGTATCTTCTCGAACGCTACGATCCTTTATCGTCAGATCCAAGTGTCTACGTTTGGTCGTTATTTGATCGAGCAACGGGCAGCGTTCGCGATGCATCATGCATACAACCATTTGATCAGCTTATGTCTTACAATCGCGCGGGTATTGCGTAATTGCTTCGCACTAGCCCGAAGGCCTGACGCTTCGGTTAGCAACGAACCAATTGACGATCGGTCATACGTGCAACAATTGCGATTACACGTGGAACGATCGCGATTATACGCGCAATAATGGAACCGGGCAAATTGTTGTGCTGTGGCAAACAACTCGACGCAACGCGTATCGTCGCGAAAAGTGCATTATAAACGGTGTCCAGTTAACGTACACATAATCCAACACCCAATTTCCTAATTTTAGACTTCTGACGAACCCTTTGCTTAGCATTCGAAAGCTGCCATCGACAGAAATATTGATAATAATTAAAAGGAAATTATATAGAAAGAAAACAATTTACCAAATTATACATATGTTATGCGTGGACTTCTCAAGATTTTGATTATTCGATTAATAAGAAAAATTTCAACGTCTGATGAAACTTAATTTAAAAAAAAAAAATGTCAATATGTACTATGCTACACGCCTCCAACTAGATGTGGTTCACTTTCATCAGTGAATGTACTATGCTGAAACAAAATCGACTAACATGACAACAAATACTGTACGTTGGTTATAAAATCGAAGCAAACAATGTGAACAGTGCTTTGTATCAGCTACAGGAAAAAATATAATGTTTGACACGAAAAAGTGTTGGGAAAAAAAAGATATGGATTTTATTTCGTGTCGCGAAAGTAATATTCGATATTTGATCCCCGATACGTAGTCATTCGAAACGCACAAAAATTATAGCTAGAGAGAGCAAAACTCGAGCAACGCGTTTCGCGCTCGGTGCGGCCAAAAGTCAATGCTTTCAAGAATCGATATCCGCTAATACAATTGTGCACGCACGGCGAACCGAACGAAATACGACAACGACAGGTTTGTCGGCAATTAGTAATGGCGTGTCGTTCGATCGCGATATATTGTGTGCACGGGCTGTCGCTTGAAAGCGATCGTCGCGTGACCAATTTCTCTTTTCATCGACACTTCCGTCAGAACGTTGTTACTTGTTATGCGTCTCGTTGTGTAGCATTTACGTTCTAAGAACGGCTGTGGATTGACATTTCGTGCGTGAAACTGATCACGCTGTTATAAATGGACGTTCCAAAGCCTAAGTTGGGAGGGTCAGTAATAAGAATTCTCTTAAAAAAAAAAATAAATAAAAAAAAATTTGTTCTTTATAATTTTTAGTTTACAAAGACTACACCTTGCTAGGGAGAATTATATCGAAAAGTTTTTAATTTACAGTGCCAAATATCTACGTACGAACAGATGAATGGTTTTCCTTTCGTAATTCAGACGGAGTGGCTGTAGTCGTCATATAGGTTAAATAAAGTTGATTTGTTATGGAAAAACGAGTCGAAAATGTAGAATAAATGTTTGTTCTAGGATGCTTCGTTTTGTAGAAAATCAATTCTAAAGACCACGAAGTTGAGCCGTGCGCTTCAGTACGGGTTGACTGACGCGTCTGACTATGATCGACTGTTTCTACTTGCGCTATTCTTATGGGGTACTAATGGTGATTTTATATACCAGTTTTCTGTCGATCGTACTATGTTCTAGCTCAAGTTAGAACCAGATGAGCAATGGTCAGACACAGACATAGAATTTTCACAATTTCTTTTCACGCGAAAGAAACCTCGAAAAAAAAAATTCTATAGTACACTTTCGACGTGTTTTTAGATAAAGAATTAGTTTTTCTTGCAACTGTATCACCACTTGTACCAGATTGGCAATTACAGTCAAGGCTATAGGATTTAATAATTTTATTCGTCGATCTCTATGTCTTCGAGTTCCATGAAGCAACGTTCAACGAATGTTTGATAAAACACAATGGCAATTTGCGGAAAACGTTAAGTACGAGCCAATGAATCGCCGGTGTCCCCGAAATGTGAATTTAATACAACGAACGCAGGTAGACCTTACGCGAATTCAAAGTAAATTAGTTTCAAAAGTTTCCAATGGAATATATCATTAATGAGAGACGCCGCCCTTTAGTAGCCATTCGCTAATGAGGAATGGTTAACGAAGAAAATTGCTGAATAATTAAAAGTTGCTTTTGGTTGAAAATTACGCGATTCCGAGTTGGTGGCACGCGCTGGCCCGAAAAAACAGGTGTTTGATAAAGTTTGCGAAATCTGTCTCCGAGAAATGAAAATGAATTTCTTAGGGTTCGTCCTTTGTGCAAGAAATAAGGAAATCGATTGATGAATCAAAGAACGAACAAAAAAAAAGGGAAGGAAAATGCAGAGAAAAAAAGGAAGATAACGAACGAATAAATAAAGTTCCAGCTTACGCTTTAATTGTCCTTAATTCAAAGGACGCGCTAACTAGAGGCCGCAAAATTAATAATAAAATATTCCGCCGGTATATAATTCAGTCATGCGCGTGATGCAATTAGTTCTAAAACTCTTTCGGCTTGAGTGCTGTAATTATCCGCCGGCGTGCATAAAATTCTGATTAACTTCGGGACTGGTTGTATCAAAAAATAGTATCGAAGTAACTTTCCTCTCATAAAGTGTCGTTGAACACGGAATAAAAAATTTGTTATAAAGTGTGTATCGTTTGAATACGAACGGCTTTACAAAGTGGGGTTTGTCTGTGTATTTTGTATGAAATGTAAATTTATTTTGGCATTTTTAGGTCGCATTAAAGTACGTGTAACTACGATTAAACGTGAAAGGTGATGACTTGTAATTCGTGATTAAAAATAAACAAAATTCCGAAGGTTTACATACCGAAAGGGATTTAGAAGGCACTATTTACAGGTGGAATCTGGAATACATTCAAGTTGGACATATGGCATAAACGAGAACCGAATTATTCCGCGAAATGCACCTTCCAGCTCATTTACCAATCCGAATAGCGGGAAATCCAGCGGGAACCGCGCAATCGTGCGCATAGTTTTCTCGGTTTTTAACAATTTCCCTATTATTTTGATGGCGTTTAGCAGCATACGGCTTTATGTTGCTAATTAAATGAATCGATGCGTCTCGCGCGTAGAAACAATGATCATTTGTGTCGCGAAAATTCAAGATATTACTCGCCATTAGGGAAGCATAGGAATCAATGTAAAAATTTAATAAGAGTGTCGCTGGAAGACTAACAATCCTTCATTCTTACAGATAAATCTGAGATCTTTACTTTTCATTCTGAATAAACTATTCCTTATACCACTGGTTAAGAAGATTAATCGAATATTCCAAATTTCATCCTATTTGTAAAGCAAAATTTGTTTTCCCTCGCTTATCGACAAGTCTGCGAGAGTCTGCGAGACTTAAATGTCCCGACTATGGCGATTCCAAGGCCCACTCCTTCATTTTTCACGACTATCCATCCGAACCAACAACGAAATAGCCATCGAGACCTCGATCTTATGAGACGTTCCAAAGGATTCACAGTCCGTCCCAGGTGCATATCAGCTCGATCTGTTTGGGAGGACACCTGTGCGTCGGTATTATACATACGTATACAGGAAATCGTTTACCCAAAACGCCCATAAAGCCAGGCTAGAGTTAAGAGTGTTCCAAGAACGATTGTCACAGTCTGCGGACGCGGATTGGGGAAACTGGGGTCGAAGAAGGCACGAAGGAGCGAGTGGGTTGGTCTAAGAATCCATCAACGAAACTGGTAATCAGCCGGGGCTCCCACGAACCACTTTCAGGGATCCAATCTCGTCTGGCATTTTTACCCTCGCCCCTTATGCTCCTCTTATTCCGTTTCTTTCCTTCGCTTCGCGCCGAAGTCTTCCTCTTTACCTCCGACGCGCATGTCGGTTACGACAGCGATTCGTTCTTCCTCTTTGTTGTCTTTCTCGCTAACTGGAACGTATATACATCCTCCTGATACCTCGCGAGCTATGGATAAGTGCGTTTGCCACTGACTAAGGGGCCGAGTTCCTGCTGGAAAGTTTAACTGGCTGATTAAAAGTTCGCGGGAGGAGAATCGTATCCCGTTAGACTCCCAGATGTTGAGAATGGAGAGGTGATTCTTTAAAGTATTCGTAGGATCGGGTGCGTCGGTGCCGGAGCTGGGGGTGCTTGTTTAGGGCCGCGGAGTTACCTGGCTTCGATGGAACGTATCAATTTGAGCACGTGAATTCGCGGGGG